CTCAGCCTCCCAAAATGTTGGGATTACAGGCGTGAGCCACCATGCCTGGCCGCAAGTACTGTTACTTTTAATTCCACTAGCAGATTTCTGTTTGTAAAGAAAAGTCTCCAAACAACAGTAATAATACCAAACAATGACCAAGTAAGCTCTGTGCCTGGCGCAGTTGTACACACGTTGCATGTGCCCCTCAGCGCCCCTGGTGTGGGGCAGAGAGTGTAGGAACCTAGTTCAGAGTCCCAGCCATCGAATGGGATGCTCGTGTCTGAGCCCAGCCTGTCTGGCTCTGAAACCCATACATACTATAATCTTAACTCCTTTTCTTCATCTCTTGTAGAAAATAGATTTATCACACAGGAGGAAAAGTTAGCCAACTGAGACAAATCAGCAAAAGAAGAAAGTATATATGCCTTTTTTTTATTCTGAAAGTGATAGGTGTTCATTATAGAAAAATGGAGTATATACAAAACTGTGTAAGAGAGAAAAAAAGTGTTGCGTAAGCCTGCGTAAGCCTACCACCGCAAGATGATCTGTTAATATTTTTGTTGTATTTCCATTTGAGTCATTTTATGGACTTTATATAAGGTACTGCCAGTTTAGTATTAGTTTACTTATTACTACTAGTTGATTTATGCCACATTTTTTCCCAAAAATTTTTCAAATAACTTACAAAGGCACATAAAAATGTACAACCTAGTGTGAGGGCATAAATAAGCCATGGTTTTTGTAGGGTGAAGGGAAATTTTCCCTAGAAGTGCCAGATTCTGTTTCACGTGGAAGAGAGAATAATGATATGATAAGTAAGTAGACTAGAATGTTGATTTGACGCCAGCTAACTTGTAATGAGAGGATGAGTTGGTAGAATGTCTTATTTCTTTTATAAGTTATATAAACATTGATTTTAAAAACATTAACACATACTTAATTTTTTTAGGCATATTTTTCATAGAATATGCATTGACCCATGGCTTTTGGATCACCGAACATGTCCAATGTGTAAACTTGATGTCATCAAAGCCCTAGGATATTGGGTTTGTTACGTTTTTGTTTATATTCAATCTCTGCCCCAGTTCTTCCTGAGTGCTTCAGTTTCATTATTGACTAGAAACAAGAGGAACGGGCGAAAGGCTCCTAATATCCTTGTGGTTCTCTGAAGAAAATTTCCTCACTATTAAAAATGACTTCTTAAGGCAGTCCAAAAAAATCAGTGAAATAAATTTGTGATGATAGAATAATATGCTCAGATGTTTCCCAGAGAGTTTGTAATTACTTAGAGTAATGTGTTTTGGTATGCTGCACCACAGAATGTATGTATGCTAGTTTTGTATAAACAAGAATCATAAAATATTTGAAAAGGAAGGAGCCGCATAGGTTGTCTGGCTTAATTTGTGCATTCTACATGTGAAGAAACCGAAGCCAATACTTCTTAACATCAAATATTATTCCCTATTCCTAGGTTTCAGAATCATATAGACCTGGGGCAGTTTGTCCTGCATTGAAGTTGGTTCATCACTGATGGTCACAGGGCCTTACACAGAAGACACGGGGGCAAAATGAAAAGGAAATCATAGGAGTAGCTAGCCACGTGCTGAACAAGTGCCTTCCATACCTTGTTATGTCTAATCTTCACAGTTGCTATAAAAGTGCTGTCACTATTCCCATCTTACTAATTGGAAACTTGAGCTTAGAGAAGCTAGATAACTCACCTGAAGTCATACCGTTATTTAATGGGAACTCATCTTTCAAATAAAGTTTGCTTAATTCCAGGGTCTGAGCACTTAACTATTACCCTACCCAAAGAGGGGAACATAGAGGGAAAGAATACTTTTGTTTAGGTTATATTTTTTATTGGTTTTAGAGTCTTCATACAATCTATTAATGTCTCAACATATTCTCATTTAGAAGATAAACAGTTTTAGGCCGGACTTGGTGGCTCATGCCTGTAATCTTGGCATTTAGGGAGGCTGAGGTGGGCGGATCACTTGAGGTCAGGAGTTCCAGACCAGCCTGGCCAACATGGTGAAACCCTGTCTCTACTAAAAATACAAAAAAAAATTAGCCAGATGTGATGGCACGCTCTTATAGTCCCATTTACTTGGGAGACTGAGACAGGAGGATCGCTTGGGTCTGGGAGGCAGAGGTTGTAGTGAACTGAGAGCGTGCCACTGCACTCTAGCCAGGGCAACAAGAGTGAAACCCTGTCTCTCTCAATCAATCAATAAAAAAAAAAAAAAAAGTTTTTAAATAAAGATCTTTGGGGAAAGTAATTTATCAAATATCGTCTTGTTGCTAAACATATTTTTAGAGTTTTTCATAGAGTTTATTGTGGAATTAGAAACTGCAGTTTGGGTTTTTTTTAATGATGATCATTTTATGCAGCTTTAAGCCATTATGGTCATGTAAGCTTCTATAGTGGCATCATTAAAGAGCTTAGAGAAGCTAAATAACTCACCTGAAGTCATACAGTTATTTAATGGGACTTATTTCCCAGACTGCAGTCTGTTTAAAATGTCCCCTCATCTTCTAGCTTAAGAGACCGCTTCCTTAACAACTACTGTCATTCTCTATGAATTACAATTCATTTGTTTTTTTGAGACAGCCTCACTCTGTCGCCCAGGCTGGAGTGCAGTGGTATGATCTCGGCTCACTTCAACCTCTGCCTCATGGGTTCAAGTGATTCTCCTGCCTCAGCCTCCCAAGTAGCTGAGCTTACAGGTGCACTCCAGTACATCCAGCTAATTTTTTATATTTTTTGTAGAGATGGAGTTTTACCACATTGGCCAGGCTGGTCTCAAACTCTTGGCCTCAAGTGATCCATCCGCATCAGCCTCCCAAAGTGCTGAGATTACAGGCATGAGCCATTGCACCTGGCCACTGAGTTGTTTTTTAAATGTGAGTTCCAGAACGCCTTCACTGTGTGCTCACAGGAAGGTGGGGGTCAGTGTTCAAGAATGGTCTTACTAGAAACAGACTATTTTGATGTCCAGAAAATTTGTCTCTCTTCTAGAATTTCTTCACATATTCATGGTTTTCAATAATTGTAGCTGTGTTTAGCATGGCATAACATGCTTTCTTAATGAACCTGGCTCATCCCTCTTCACTCCAGAAACTGTAGCTTAGATGAGAAGATGAGCCTTTGTGGGGACAGCATTTTAAATAATAGCATACAGGGAGCTTGATGGATTTCTTTCTTGGCAAGGTTTTAGAACTCTTCTTCATTAGATACACTCTAAAGCATATTCTAAGTTGTTTTCTTCATCAGTCAGTAGTTTAACATGCTTTTCATTGCTGGATGTTTGTATGAAAGGAATTTCACTGACTGTAGCACAGGGACTTTAATCCTCATGAGTTTTGTTTGTGGAAATAAGCTATATATTTCATATATTAAAAATTTAAGACTCTTCATCTCACATAAGGTTGAGTTGCTTTCTTAGAATGTTAATTTCAGAAAGCTAGACTATATATCCCCAGAATGCCTGATTTATTTTTCGATGAACAGAACCTATAGTAACATTAAACCTCAGAAACTTACTGTCTTGTCTTTGACTTTTGAATCTTTAGACAGTACACCCTTTTCTGTGGACCTGTTGACCCCCTCCTGCAGTGGATGCTTTAGTTAGCCATGCTGTGCCCTCTTGGAGTAACTAGTTCTCTATTTCCTCATAACTAGTGAGAGTCAGCCTCAGTCCACCACACAGACTTTAAAGGTTCACAGCTATTTCAGTGATCCTTGTCACTTGTTTTCATTCATTTGGCAAGGATGGGTCAAAGAAATGACATCTGAGGTGCTAGATCTGCACTTGGCTCTGGGGAGACCAAGATGAGTAAGACACAGTCCCTCCCCTCACGGGCTCTTGAGGATTTCACTTTCTGGACTGGTGGGGGGTCAGGGCACGCACACAGACACGACACGGCCAAAGAGGCCTGTTTGAAGTGCTGCCTGTGGGAGCACAGAGGAGGGGTCACACGGCCTGCTGCCAGGTAGAAATTGGAAGGTGGAGCAAGTGCATTTGAGAGGGCAGTTGAGCTGGGTGTTGCATTAGCCGTCAGACACACCAAAGTCTTGAGGCTAATGCTATGTCTGGGGAGTGAACAGACAGGGTTGGAGGTTGGCAGGTAGTTAAGTTAGCAGATATAGGTAAACAGGTTGGGGCTAGGCTGGCAGAAGTTTGGGTATTGTGATGTCACAGCCACAGGATTTGTTGCTTGGTGTGTCAGGAGCAGGGATGGGAGGGCGTTACGTTGCTGGTGAGGCAGGAGGGGCAGGTTCTAGAACACAGGTGGAGCAGGGCTGTTGGGGGCGCAGCCCGGTGGAGGGAGGTGGAGTGCCTGTGAGTGGTGCTTTTACTTGAAGCAATGGTGAGATGCTGAGCCAGATGGTCATAGTGAACCTGCAGCAACCCCTCATCTAATAAGTCACTTTACCAGGAGTTCCATCCACTTACAACACAGCTTTGACTCTGGTATTAATCAAATGAGGTTTCTAGCTGTTCCCCCAATGTCGAGACTTAATGTAGTGTTGCTGATAGCGTCTCCAGCCCTCCACTTTCACTGTTTTCCTTTCTTTAAAGCAGCAAATGGAAGCGGGAGGGAAGGTGGAGGCAAACTACAGCTGATCACCACCCTGTCCATATGGAAGGAGCCAGAGTAACTTTTTCAAGAAAATAATACAGTCTGAAGGCATCTGTTGTTCAAAGGCCTTGTTTATCTCTGAAACCCTAGTGCCTCACTGTAAACCAGCACAGGGCGGTAATCAGAGTTCATGGCTATGGCCTCATATCCTCTGTCCAGGAAGGCAAGGAAGTGGAGGAAAGCTTCACTTTCTGTCAATAGTTTAAAAGGTGGCATTGCTTGTATCAAGGAGGGGAAATGTTTTTTAGAATAAAAAACATGTAGGCCTTAGGAGGTTGGTTGTCGAGAAAGAATTCATTTTCTTGTGATACTAGATAAGGGAGACGTTGTGCTTTTTGCCAGATTCATTGTATAGAAGTACATAATATCGTGTGTGAATTACGAGCCAGAAGATAGATAAGCTTTGATCATGTTTTTCTTCTGTTCTAA